TGCTTGTGTGTGTGTGTGTGTGTGTGTGTGTGTGTGTGTGTGTTTGTGTGTGTGTGTGTGTGTGACTGTGTGTGTGTGTTTGTGCGCATCTCTGTGTGTGTCTGTGTGTGTGAGAGTGTGTCTGTATGTATGGTGTGTATGTGTGCATGAGTGTGTGTGTGAGTGTGTGTATGTGTGTGAGTGTGTGTCTGTGTATGTGTGCGTGTGTGTGTGAGAGAGAGAGAGTGTGTGTGTGTGTCTCTGTGTGTGTGTGAGAGAGAGATAGAGTGTGCGTGTGTGTGTGTGTATGTAAATCTATAATTAATTCAGAATCTATACCGATGATTATTTGAAGAATCTTAACTAAAATCTACTATTGTAACAGATTATCTCATTAAAGGTTCACTAATTAAATGTAGAATTCTTATGTGAAATGCTCTTATCTATGTCTCCTGTGTAAAAAACTGTAGCTGCATGTTAAGCTTACTGAATGGTCTTAATTCTGTTATCTTGGGTCTACAGAGGTACCGTGGTTCTAACTTATGCAGACTATATTAAGCAAATATTTTCCCATGCTTTTTCCTGCTTTTGCCATGGGCAGCCATTGGCCATTTTGTGCTGCTCAGTTATGGGCAGCCCTAATTGTGGTAAACAGAAAGGCAGGTAGGTTTAAACTGCAGGAGGAGATCAGTGGACCAGTCATGTGGGCAGTAAAGTGGCAAATGAAATTCAACCTGGAAAGTTGTGGGGAAATACGCTTGGGGTAACAAAGCAAGCAATTACACTATGCATGGCAGGAACATAGAAAGTACTGAAGATCAGAGGAACCTTGCTATACATATCCAGAGATCCCTGAAGATAGCAGGGAAGATAGATCAGATGGTTAAAAGGCATATGGGATATTTACTTTCTTTAGACAAACAGATTGAGTAAATATAGAAATTAATAATCAAATAAATATAAACACAAGGTAAATGGGAACAGGAATGAATACATGAATAGGAAGGGTTTAAATCGATATGGGCCAAATGCTGGCAAATAGGGTTAGGTTAGATTGGGATGACTGGTCAGCGTTGACGAATTGGACCAAAGGGTCTGTTTCCATGCTGTACGACTCTATGACTCTATATTACAAACAAATCATTTAACATTAGAACCAGACTATCTGCAGCAAGCAAAACAGGTCGAAAGATAATCACTCTAACACACACACACTAACACACAAAGAGACATATTGACTGGAATACCAATAAATGTTGGGAACAATCATAATCTACTGAAGTGCTATCATAATAGACGAGATATAGAGAAGTACAGCATGGAAACTGACCTTTCAGTCCAACTCATCCAAGCCAACCAGATATCCTAAATAATCTAGTCCCATTTGCCAGCATTTGGCCCATATTCCTCTAAACCCTTCCTATTCATACACCCGTCCAGATGCCTTTTAACTGTTGTAATTATACCAGCCTCCACCACTTCCTCTGGCAGCTCATTCCATACACGCACCACCCTCTGTGTGAAAATGTTGTCCCTTAGGTCCCTTTTAAATCTTTCCCCTTTCAACTTAAACCTCTGCCCTCTAGTTTTGGACTCTCCACCCAGGGAAAATACTTTGGCTATTTACCCTATCCATGTCCCCCATGATTTTATAAACTTCTTTAAATTCACCCCTCAACCTCCGATGTTCTAGGCAAAATACCTCCAGCCTATTCAGCCTCTCTCTATAGCTCAACGCTTCAATCCTGGCAACATCCTTGTAAATCTTTTCTGAACTCTTTCAAGTTTCACAACATCTTTCCTATAACAGGGAGACCAGAATTGAATGCAGTATTCCAAAAGTGACCTAATCAATGTCCTGTACAGCTGTAACATAAACTCCCAACTCCTATACTCAATGCACTGACCAATAAAGGCAAGCGTACCAAATACCTTCTTCGCTATACTGTCTACCTGTGACTCCAGTCATGGGAAAACCCTTTGCAACACAAGGGGAAGGGGAGTCTTATTAATATTGTCGGGCCAAAAGGATCATTTAACCTAAGGATGAGATGATTTCCCTGGCTGAATGGTGAGGTGCTGTTGGAAACACAAAGAGTGACACTATTGTGGAATGCACACTGTCAAGGGCTCCATTAGCAGGGGAAAGGAGCCCAGTGCTAAGGAATGCGTACCGGGTTAGGAATGTTTAGCTTTACAGTGTACTAACCATCCCTTACAATGCTCGAGAAACCTAAGTAACCAATGAAACTATAAGAAAAAGCAACATGTGACTCAAATTACAATCAAGCAAGCAGTCCCTTGGGAATGCTGCTTCCGCTGTGGGTGTGCACATGTAGAAGGGTCCTGTCCCAAAACGTCAGTTTTCCTGCTCCTCTGATGATGCCTGGCCTGCTGTGTTCCGCCAGCTCCATACTGTGTTATCTCTGACTCCAGCATCGGCAATTCTTACTTTATCTTAGAATAAACATATTGTCTTGCTTGAACCAGAAATCGCTTCCATTAGCAACGTCATTTTAGAATACATGGAGGTTATGTCGGAATTGTATAAAATGTTGCTCAGATAACATTTGGCGTACTTTGTGCTGTTCAGTTCACCACATTAGAGTGAGGATGTGATTGCAGCAGAGAGGATGCAGAGGAGATTTATCAGGATGTTGCCTGGGCTGAAGGATCTGAGCCATGAGCAAAGATGGAATATATTGGCTGTGGTTGTTTGATTGGAGCAGAGAGGGTTGAATGGGGACCTGCTAGAGGTGTATAAGGTTATGAAGGGCATAGATAGGGATGGCTACGAAAGCACTTTTACCATTATCAAATGTTATTTATTACGCTGTTTATTATCCACTGTTTCTCTCAGTTTGATTGTCGTCAATTTTATCTGTTTATCTTCGCAATCTGAAATCTTCAATGGTTTTAATGTTCTGTTTTTCTACTATGTTGCACCTTCTCATTTCAAAACAGTCATTTTTTTCATTTACTTGATGGAATTTTATAATTCCTCACTGACTTTTTTGAGTCTGGTGTTTTCTTTTTGTAACTCTCAAGTCAATGCACATCCTTTTATTTAAATTTGACTTCAAATGAATACTTTCAATTCAGTATTTGTATTTGATTTTTCAATGGTTTCATTGTTAATGTGATTGCAGCAAATAAGATTTTTGGGGAGTCTTCACACATTGGGTGTGGAGGGGTTGTTTCCCCCAAGTGGGAAAGTCTAAGTATGATCTTCTGGTCAGCAAAAGGGTCACTGCACTCAAAACATTAACTCTGCTTTCTCTCCACAGATGCTGCCAGACCTGCAAAGATGCTGAGCCAACCAGGAAGAGACAAAGATGAAATCACAGATCATTTATAGAAAACTCTTCACCACCGAGTGACATATTTCCCTTGCTGTCACTTTTAAACGTGTTTCCTGTAATTTTCTTCTCTTGTTGAATCATAGAATCCCTACAGTATGGAAACAGGCCCTTCGGTCCAGCAAGTCCCACACTGACCCTCAGAGAATCCCACCTAGACCTATCCCCCTGTAACCCACCTAATCTACACATCCTTGAACACTACGGGCAATTTCCCATGGCCAATCCACCCTAACCAGCACATCTTTGGATTGTGGGAGGAAACCAGAGCACCCAGAGGAAACCCACGCAGACACGGGGAGAATGTGCAAATTCCACACAGACAGTCACCCAAGGGTGGAATCATACACAGGCTCCTGGTGCTGTGAGGCAGCAGTGCTAACCACTGAGCCACCATGCTGCTGGAACTGGAAAGTGCCAGCTTTCGGGATTGGATGTGGGAGAGCTTCCTGATGTTTAAAGATGTTCTCTGTTATTCTGCAGAGATATTTTCTATTGGGTTAATGTTTTCTTCCATGTCAAAGTTCTCCCACTTCTGCAACTGGGGAACCGTGCAACTCATCTTTCAAGCTCCATTAAGATGCTCCTTGTTGTTTCCCTTGTGTAAAGAAAACTGTTGCCAATTTTGGACGTGTATCTTACACTGTCTGGTTGTGAACGTGATTATAGGATACAATATGCAACTGTTGAGAGAGATAGTAGGAACTGCCGATGCTAGAAAATCTGAGATAACAAGGTGTAGAGCTGGATGAACACAGCAGGCCAGGCAGCATCAAAGGAGCAGGAAAGCTGACGTTTCGGGTCTGGACCTTCTTCAGAAATGGGGGA